ATGCCCAAGGTTGAATGGGAATGGAGGACATCATTGCATTTAATTATTTCTTCAGAATAAAAATGGATTTGAGCAGCAGCTTAGTGGGGAGGCAACCGCAGAGCAATTAGAGTTCTGAAGCTCTCACGCAACCACTTGAATGTGCAATCATTGTAATAAGTGCATTAAAATAAAAGAAGTCAAAGGGTTGCATTTGCATAAACAACCCAAGGTGAGTGTGTGGGATCAGTTAAACACAAAGAGGACTCAGCTAGTTGATCATAATGAAGAACTAATAACCAGTCTGTCCTCCAGGCAGAGACCCTCGGGTGTGATGGTTGAGGCCCCGAAGTCATGAGTAGCCAACCTGACCTGGGTTCTCTGCACATTCCTCCTTCTCCCTGGGTGGTGGGCACGTTTGGGAAGCTTTATGTACATTCATCCTCACCATTTTCCACATGAAGAAACTGAGGCATGAGCTGGAGTCACTTCATTCCCAGCAGTGTGGCCTTGGTCCAGTTGTCTAACCCCGATGTGCCTTCTTTTTCTCCCCTTAATTAGGACGAATGCTGCCTGCTTAATCCTTTTGGAGAGGATGGGGGACACAGGGTGTGTGAAGGGCCAGGGTATGAGGTCCATGGATGCTGGGGATGCGATGATTATCCTGCACATATTTGCCTAGAAAGCTCTCAGGGTTGGTTTTATAGGAGAGGAGCCTGGGTTTGGATTTAGAAATCTCTGGTCTCCAGGGAAAGGAGAGGAGAGCTGAGCCCTCCCCTGGGCAGGTAAAGAGTTAGGGGGAAGGTGAGGTGTGACATCTCATGTTCACAGAGGGGTGGATGGATAAAGAAAGGCTGGTATATCCATACAATGGGATCTTAATCAACCTTTAAGAAAAGGAAGTCCAGCCCTTTATGAGAACATGGAGGAACCTTGTGCTGAGTGACATAAGCCAGTCCTAGCAGGACACATACTGCACAGTACCACTTAGGTGAGGAATCTGAAATAGTCAAATTCATCGAAGCAGAAAGTAGAATGGTGGTTTCTGGGGGCTGGCGAGGAGCGAAGTGGGGAGATACTGATCACAATTTCTTAGTTATACAAGATGAGCACATTCCAGAGGTCTTCTGTACCGCGTCGTGCCTACAGGTAGCAGTATATCGTCCTGTGCTCTTAAACATGTGTTGAAGGTAAATGTGTTAAGTGTTCTTCACACAATGAAATTTAAAACAGGAAGAGGGGGAAGGGGCAGGAGAAATCGGCTACTAGAGAAAACAGTACCGACTCAGGGTGACAGGTGGTGTCAGGCCTCCGGATGATGCCTGATGCTCCCTGACTGTGCCTCTCTCCGACTTTTCTGGAAGCTGACTGATGTCTGTGAGCTCTCCATTCCAAAAGACTAAATATTTCCCTTCCCGCACACTGGGACCTTCAGGCTTCCTGCGGCAGCTGAGTGGCGTCTGGGGCCAGCGGAAGGCCACGGGGCCGCACGGAGGCAATCACCCCCATCGTGGGGCCTCTCTGAGTAGACAACGTGTATACATTAGGAGTCGTGTTAGAACTGATGGCCACGCCTGGTCCTGGTATCAGAAATTAGCCAGAGGCATCGGCTGTTCTCAGATGGTCAGATGAGCTTCATCTATGGCAGTGTTTCCTGTGCCTGGTTTAGCTGAGGTTCTGCCAGGAAGTGCTCACACACGTGAGCTTTTGAAATCAGTGGTTTATAGAGGTTTTCTGCTCAGGGGGCCAAATTGCAATCCTCAGTTAATGAGGAAAGAGAACAGCCCAAGAATAATACTCAGGATGTGTCTGATGAGAGAGGGTGCAGATGGCTGTAAGGACAGGGGCTCTTCTGCGTACTCTCTGCCCTCTCGTTAACTTCGGAAAAAAACCCCAAATGGGCTCGGGGACAGAATTTAAATTCATATTCTTGGACAGCGGGCATCATTGAACTGATTTTCTGTCTGTTAGAGACAGAAAAAAAGGCTTTTGTACCAGAGGACAGCTGGAAGGAAGAAAGCAGATCAGGTTGGCTCCTGTATTAATCAGGATGAGCTAGATCGTGCTGCATTAACGAAGATCCCCAAATCTCAGTGACAGAAATTGACAGAGATTTATTTCTGCCCCTAGGGCCGAGGGAGAGTCTCTTCTCCATACTGGCCTCACTCGGGGATACAGGAATTTCACTATCAGGAGTGTGGCTGGATGCCATGGGGGAAAGGGGATGTGGCAAATCGTGCCCTGGCTTCTGTCACTTGTCTTGGTCATAGCACGTTGCTTGGCTGTGCCTAATTTCCAGGGGATGGGAAATATAATCCTATCATGTGCCTGGAAGGAAGAGGACTGAAATATTTGTCGAGCACTTTATTGAATACCATCCCTGCCCCTGCTTCCAACTCCATCCCTACCTAAGCTATATGAGCAAACAGCAAGATACCCCTCTCTCCTCCCCATAGAGAAGTGGGGGCTCAATGCTCCTTATTTACCTCTCAGCCAAACCGAAGAGACACTGTACCATAGCAAGTTTGAGAATCAGACGGGTGCAAGTTCCCTTCCTCCTCCAGATGACTTTGAGCAAGTTACTGAACATCCCCAAGCGTTTTCCCTTCCCTGTAAGATGGGAATACTATTACCTTCTTGGAAGTTATTTCTGAAGGTCAAATGAGATATCACATATAAGGACTTGGCATGGTGCCTGGTGCCTGCTGTGTGCTCAAGAACGTTGTAAGAACACATCGGCTCCTCTTTCTGTTACATACGAGGAGCGCACCTCCTCATGGGGTAATTGTTGCTATCCGGTAAGTCATACCTGTGACTCACTTAGTTTGTGGTGCCGGCTCATGTCAGTGCTCAGGGAGTGCATCTGAGGGGCTGCTTAGGGTTCCTCAAGGACCTCTGGGCAGAAAGAAGAGAAAAGAGGACTATCAGTGAGTGGGGTTCAAGAACAGACATGGAGCCTCACTGAGGGGGGTTTCTTGCAAGTCTGTGTGGGGAATTAAAAAAGACCTGAACCAGGTGTCAGAACTGGAAGGTCCCCGTCACCAACAAAGATACAACATCGGCTCCTGTGTGTGATCAGCACCCCTCCATGACTCAATACAGACTCAGCTCTCCCTTCGTGGCATCTCTTTATTTCCTTCTACCTACCCCGTGGCCCCCCAGCTCCTGCGCCTCAAACTCCTGGTGCTTCGTGGCCCCTATTTACTGTCTTCTCCCTTTCTGTGATTCCCTGCCTCCTGATGGCTGCTTGCAGGTGACATGCTTATCCCAGATGCACTTATCTGGGTAGGAGTAGATGGGAAGGGAGCCAGATCTTGTGGTACAAAGCCAGGCTGCAGCGGTTAAGAGGACAGGGTAATGGAACGGGTAGCCCAGGACGTGAGGTCTGTGGTTTGCTACGTTACCTTGTGCACATCACTTGTTAGCTGGTGCTCAGTTCCCTCACCTGTATAATGAAAATAACAATATTCATCTTACAGAATGGCCATGCGGGATCTCGGGATCAGCTGTCATTCTTACAGCCTCTCCGATTGGAGAAATCAGTGCTTGATGCTAGGGGACACGGGGCAAACAAAAAGGGGCAGCCACAATGTGGCTGCTTCTCCAGAGCACTGCTGAGCCAAACGGGGCAGTGGGGGCACAGCCAACCACACCAAGCCCCGGGAGGGGGCCTTCTAAACTCACACTCCTGGAGAGCTGGAGTCTGCACTTATTTCTTCTTTTTTTAAAATAGATTTTTAAATTGCTTTTTAGAGAGAGGAATGGAGAGAGAGAGAAACAGTGTGAGAATGAAACATCAATCAGCTGCCTCTTGCAAGCCCCCCACTGGGGATCAAGGCCACAACCCTGGGCATGTGCCTGGACCAGGAATGGAACTGGCAACCCCTCGCTGCACTGAATGGTGCCCAACCACCTGAGCCACACCAGCCAGGGTTCATCACTGGTCTGCCACTCTTTCTTAAAGGGCCAGATAGAAGTATTTTAGGCTTTGCAGGCCAGACAGTCTCTATTGCAACTGCTCACCTCTGCTGTTGTGGCAGCCCTAGATAATACATAAATGAACAGGCATCCCCACGTTTCAATAAAAGTTTATTTACAAAAACAAGTGGCAGGTGGGAATTGGCCCGCTGAGTAGTTTTGCAACCTGCCAGAGGAGGAGGCGCGCCGAGTTTCAGCCTCCCGGGCTCCAGCGCTGCTTCCACTGTCCATCCCGACCATTCCCACCCTCGGGAGCCCGTTGGAGGCGCATTTAGGAAAACTCGCGGGGAAGTCTTCCCTCAGAGTTTCTACAGCAACGCGTTCAATGCATTTCTGCAGCAACGGCGTAGATTTGTGGAACCAATTAGTGTTCCCTGTGGCTTCCGAGGTCTCCCGGAGGGCTCGCTTTAGGACCGTGGGTACTCTTTCAGGTCAAGGCCTTGGCAGTGGGTGTCCACAGGAGCGACATGCTTTAGAGATGACCCGGGGGAGGAGCTGAGTATGGGGCGCCCGCTTTCCTGGAAAGATGCACCCCGCGCATTGTCTCCTGAATGACTCCTGGCCCTTCTCTTGAAACCCCAGGCGACTTCATCAGTTCTGCCCCAGGTAGAGACATGGAGAGCCAAAGCTCAAACACAAGCGTGTCACAGGTCTGCGTCTCCGCTGGGATTCATTGCAAGGACCATTCGTTCTCCAAAACACCCAGGGACGGCTCTCCTTCGGAACCGACGCTGGCGCTGTCTTATTTCTCTTATGGGCATAGCTCTATGAATACATCCTAAAGGCAGTGGCATGTATATAATATCCTACTGATATTCTCTCCCTTTATAACTTTATTATGGCATTGCCAGCCCTTAAATAAACCATCAAGGCACTCTCTGCTGGAATTTAAACAGGAAGCTGGAACAAAGTGCCCTAATCCAGCGGCAGAGACAGTCCGGGAAACTTCCTTGAAAGGGAGTATGGTTCATAAGAAGCCGTGGGACTCACAGGCATAGCACTTTAGGGCCGGCGGAAGCCTTCCTTTCTAGTTGGAGCATCTCATGTTTCCAGATGGGGAAACTGAGGTCCAGAGGGAAAAGTCTTTCCTGAAGGTAAGCTCTTGGCAAAGGCGGGGACCGAAACCAGGGTGCAGACTCCCGCACCTCTGTGCCCCTCTCTCCAAGGGCCAGCCTACGTAGCGTGATCGCTCAGTAAAGTTTCTCTTCCCTGTCTCTTTCCCACCTCCTCCAGGACGGCTACTTTTCTCACCGGCCCAAAGAGAAAGTGCGGACAGACAGCAACAACGAGAACTCGGTCCCCAAAGATTTTGAGAATGTGGACAACAGCAACTTCGCCCCGAGGACTCAGAAGCAGAAGCACCAGCCTGAGCTGGCGAAGAAGCCCCTGAGCAGGCAGAAGGAGCTTTTGAAAAGGAAGCTGGAGCAGGAGAAGGGGAAGGGGCACTCCATCCCGGGCAAAGACGCCAACGAGGTGCTGCTGCCCGGCGAGAGAGCCGCAGGGAACAGCAGCCGTGGGAAGGAGGCCCCCCGGCAGCCCCACGCCAGGAAAAGCGGGGGCAGCTCCCCCGAGATCAAGTATGACCAGCCCCCCAAGTGCGACATCTCGGGCAAGGAGGCCATCTCCGCCCTGTCCCGCTCCAAGTCCAAGCACTGCCGCCAGGAGATCGGGGAGACCTACTGCCGCCACAAGCTGGGGCTGCTGATGCCGGAGAAGGTGACTCGCTTCTGCCCGCTGGAAGGTAAGCTCCGGGCCCCGAGGCCGGGAGAGGCGCCTCCTCTCCAACTCTCCCTCCTTCCCAGCCCCCTTCTGCTCACATTCTCAGACCTGCTGAGACCCTGGTTTTCAAACCCCAAATCAGGTCACAAGACCTGACTTCTTTGGTACCCCCTGAATTCTGAAGTTTCCCACGGAAAAGTATTTCGGAATCAAGTTACCTGTTGTTATAGCTTTAACCAGGTGCCTTTATGGCAAAGGAGGAAATACAGTGACGTCAGGCTCACGTGGCAGCTGCAGAAGGTGAGGTGACGATGCCGACAGAGTTGGTTTTCTGTCTCAGCAGAATATCGGGATTAAAATTGACACGGATATTATTGTAACTGAATATGATCCGAACGGTTTCTAATTGGTTGCATTGACTTTGGAGGCTCTGAAAATCAACCTTCCCATTTTCCTCCATCTAAAATTCCTTCCTTCCTTCCACCCCTCCCTCCTTCCTAAATTTTCCTCGTTTTCTTCCTATTTTCTTTCTTCCTCATTTCCTGTTCCTCCTTCCCCCTCCCTGTCTCTCTCTCTCCCCTGCCCTGAGCTGAACACTCTTCTGTGTGTGTGCTGGTGACCAGTGATGAACCAGAGCTCTTGCTGTGAGAGGTCAGAGCTCTAACAGAGGCGCTGTGTTGGGACAGAAGTCAGAGCGTCAGGAAAGCAGCCGCAGAGCTGATCCAGGCGGCGGGGTGGGGAGGCGGGGGCTCTCGGTCCCCCTGGCAGTGGTGGGCCTAGAGGCCAGGCAAGGAAGACTTTGCCAAGGGGCCTCCCTCTTCTGAGCAGCTACTGTGCCCCTGCATCTCTCCTGATGCAGAAGGGAGATGCGTGGTGAGAATGGCTCCCAGGGAACAGCAGGCTAGAGAAAGCTCAATGCCGTTTATTCACTGGACAGACGGCAATGCGAGGCCCATGGAGGGAAGGAGGCTTATCCAGAGTCACCCACTGAACCAGAGGCTGAACTTGAGCTAGAATCCAGGCCTCCTCTTTTCAGACGGGAGCCTCTCTATTTACTGCTGGTCCCAGAATGAAGGATTGGGATCAGGTTGGGAGCAGCCCCGTGTGCCAAGGGCACAGAGAGGCCTAGAAGGACACATGGCCAGCTCTCCAGGTGGCCCCCGGGGTGAGGTGCAGTGGGGACAACTCCAACATTTTACTCAAGTTCGTATGTATTTTCTTAGTTTTCCGTGTTTTCGCTTTCCGAGGTTTCAGTTACCTGCAGTCAACCAAGGTCTGAAAATATTGGAAATAATGGAAAATTCCAGAAATTCGTGAGTTTTAAATTGTGCGCCGTTCTGAGTAGCATGATGAAATCTCACGCTGGCCCCATACATCCCACCCAGGACGTGAGTCACCGCTCCGTGCAGCACGTCCTCACTGTATATGTTCCCACCCATTAGTCTCTCAGTGGCCATCTGGGTTATCAGAGCTACTGTCCTGGTATCGCTTTGTCCAAGTTATTCTTATTTTACTTAATAATACCACATTCACATAACCTTGATTACATTGTTATAATTGTTCTATTTTATTGTTGTTGTTGCTAATCTCTTACTGTGCCTAATTCATAAATTAAACTTTACCATAAGTATGTATGTATGTATAGGAAAGAGCATAGCATATATAGGGTTCAGTACTCTGCAGTTTCAGGCATCCACTGGGGGTCTTGGATAAGGGGGTACTACTGTACTAGTAGATCGGACACTGTTCTCACCTTATATTGCAATGAATCCTCACATTTGCCTATGGCAGCGGTTCTCAACCTGTGGGTCGCGACCCCTTTGGCGGTCGAACGACCCTTTCACAGGGGTCGCCTAAGACCATCCTGCATATCAGATATTTACATTATGATTCATAACAGTAGCAACATGACAGTTATGAAGTAGCAACGAAAATAATTTTATGGTTGGGTCACAACATGAGGAACTGTATTTAAAGGGCCAGAAGGTTGAGAACCACTGGCTATGGGGTAGATATGTTATCAACCCATTTTGTTGATGAAGAAACTGAGGCTTAGAGAGGTTGAACACTTGGCCAGAGGAGCACAGCTAGTGGATGGCAGAGCTGGGCTTAGAACTCAGGTTTGAGAGTGTGCATCCTTTTCCAGAGCCTCTCCCTCTTCTGGAGGCTAAAGCTTCCACTGTAGCTCAGATTGCCAAATCTCAGGGATGTCCTATAGCCTGCAGAATGTATCTCTCTGTCATCAGTTAGTTGCAAGAAGAAGAGAGGGCACTAATGGGGAGAAACGGGGGATGTCCCCAGCGGAGGCCAAGGGTTCCCATGCTTCTCCTGGTCATATGATCACCCCTAGTGTGGTTTTTCAGTGTGAATTTGCTGGGGGTTCCCTGTGGCCTTTGCTGCATCAGCCAAGGTGGCACAGCCTCCGGGACTGTTAATAAGATTGGCATTTAAGAGCCATTGCACACCCAGCCCCGGCAATGCTTTAATTTGCTGCACCACAGCCTCCCCTTTTGCAATAAATTTAGTGTGAATAGACTAATTGCAAAATAACCCTAATTGGATAGTTATCAATGAACAAGTTCCCGTGGAACAAAACGGCTTACAATTAATAGCATTTAAGCCATAAACTATTCTTCTGCAGAAAGCTAAGATGTAATTACACCCCATACGGAGATTGTGTTCCCTTTCTGGAAACTGTGACACCCAGATTTGCCTCTGCTTAGGAAGGATTTGAGCTCCAGCCCACTGGTCCTTTTATTTCCTGCTAAATGAAGAAATGAAAGTGGGAGGGGAGAGAAATTTAATACATGCATACATATACATAACGCACACGCGTGCATACACAGATGTACGCACTGTGCTTGTCATTTTGCTGAGTTCAGCATCGCCCAAACCTCAGCCAATATGATGCCAGAAGTTGAATATAATTAAGGAAGCAATTCCTCTTGGCCTGAGGACTGAAAATTTCAGAAGAAAGAAAATAGATTTGATTTTACTTATTTTTATTTATTTTGTTAATCTTCACCCAAAGATATTTTTCCATTGATTTTTAGAGAGCGTGGAAGGGAGGGGAAGAGACACAGAGAGAAACATTGATGTGAGAGAGACACATTGATTGGTTGCCTCCTGCACACGCCCCAACCAGGGCTGGGGACCAAACCTACAACTGAGGTAGGCAATCGAACCCGGGACCCTTCAGTCCATGGGCAATGCTCTATCCAATGAGTTAAACTGGCTAAGGCAAGAAAATAGATTTTAAATGTTGGCTTTTATAAAGGATTCCTGCTCCTCCCACCCCCAGCACCTCCTGTCCCCTCGCCCAGCACCACTCAGAGAAAAGGAAGAGTCTAGAAACCCAGGAGACGGTTTGCTTCCTGTGAACACAGTGCTGGTGTTTGTGACTTGGCCACTTCTCTCTCTGCCTCCCAGAAAAAGAAGCTGAAGTAGGGACGGCTTTCACCAGGAAAGGAGGGATCTCCAGACCGTCCATTAACAACCCCCCGAGAGAGATGTAGTGAGGTTGGGCGGGGTGGCCCCAGGTGGGCTTATTTCCAATCCAAGTGCGGGCCCTCATTCCTCCCAGAGCCCCTGTGCTCACTGTAGCAGTCAAGCCGCCAACCCCCGCTTCTCCACCCAGGCAGCTCTGCACCCCACTAGCTCCCACAGTTGTCTGGGCGTCCTATCCCTTCCTTGGGCTCCATACTCACCTGAGGGCCTTCAGTCACACCAGCTGGACCTCCCAGTGGTTCATGGAAATGAAACCTTGTCAGCTGGAAAGCCAATGGAGGCCTGGGCTGGAAAAAGACGTTTTCCATCCAGAGATCTTCAGGCCCTGGGTTTTGAATCCCGGTTCTGCATTTACTAGCTGTGTGGCCCTCCCCTCCCCGTGCCTCAGCTTCCTCATCTGTAAAATGGACACAAATCCTCGTACCTTATCCTCATAGGACTGTGGCTGAAATGGGATCGTACATATAAAATGCTTGGTGTAGAGGGGGCTCCAGCAAAGCAGATGTGCCTGGCTGTTGGCAGTAGTGAGGTTAGCAGTATACATGACGGGGGCATGGAGAAGAGAAGAGAAGAAGGCCGACTCCGATGGTGACCTCCCATTGCCTAGCCACGTCTCTCGCTCTGTTCTTCAGATGTGGCCCCATGTGCCTCAGGCATTCCCTCATAGTGCCCTGCCCCCCCACTCCATCCCACCTTGTCTGGCTGTCACCGCTTTTTACTCCAGATTGTAGCCCTCAATGCCACCTCCTCAGGGAAGCCTTCCCAGACCACACCTCCCCCAGACGCCCTGGCCACAGGGGACACACTGACCCGCGTGAGGGACAGAGGTGGCTTTCCCAATAAGTATCTTTCCTAATAAAGACTGTTCGACCGTAGGAGGCATGCTGGTGCCAGGAGCTAGGTAATGCAGCTTCTCCTGCCTCATTACCTTTGGAACACATTAGGAAGCTCCCTCCATCTTGAGTTAAAATGTGCCAAGAAAGGCCCCACTGGTTATCCTGGTCCCTCCCGCCCTTCTTCACCCTTCTCTGTGCCAGCTGACACTGGGACTACAGCCCCGATGCCAGGTGAAGAATGCGAGATGAGCAGTGTGAGAAGTTGTGGAGAAAGCAGTGGGCTGGGAGGGGGGTGGCTGCCGCCTTAGGGGGAGCTCGGGGCGAGCAGCTGAGGAGGCGGCAGTTCTCCAGTGAGTGATGAGTGAGGACTCGGAATCAGCTGGCTGGCTGCAGGGCTGCAAGCTTTCGCACAGGACAGGGGGAAGCCGGCTCAGGGTCAGAGTGAGGGTGGACAGAAAGGGGGTTTCTGATAGAAAGGCAACTGTCCGTGTCTTTACCCAGCAGCCTCTGCGTGAGGCCAGAGGCCCTGGACAAATGGGCTCTGGACGGAGGTGGCTGCGGGGAGCTGGCCGCCGCTGCAGAGAGAGGCTGGCAGATGGCACCGCCAGCTGCGGGAGGGCTGTCTCCTGCACATCTCCACACACTGGGGGCAGCGGGGTGACGACACAGCACGAGTAGC